GTGGCTTGGTATGCCCATCCCACCAAGAACTTGCCACAATTTATTATGATCCACACAGTCAAAGGCTTTAGAATAGTCAATGAAGCAGAAGTAGGTGTTTTTCTGAAACTCCCTGCCTTTCTCCATTATCCAGCGGATATTGGCAATCTGGTCTCTCGTTCCTCTGCCTTTTCTAAACCCAGCTTGAACATCTGGCAACTCCCGCTCCATGTATTGCTGGAGTCTTCCTTGCAGGATCTTGAGCATTACCTTACTGGCATGAGAAATAAGGGCCACTGTACGGAAGTTTGAGCAGTCTTTCGCATTTCCCTTTTTTGGTATGGGGATATAAGTTGATTTTTTCCAGTCTGATGGCCATTCTTGTGTTTTCCATATTTGCTGGCATATGGCATGCATCACCTTGACAGCATCATCTTTTAAGATTTTAAACAGTTCAGCTGGGATCCCGTCATCTCCTGCTGCCTTGTTGTTAGCAATGCTTCTTAAGGCCCATTCAACCTCACTCCTCAGGATGGATAATGACAGAAATATTTAAAATTAACTATGTATTTTGAATTACAACAATGTGAGTCAAGCTCTGAAAGGGTTAAATGAATGCAATGACTCAGCAAAAGTTGCACTTCTACATAAGCAGGTGTGCCTGTAACTTACTAGCTTTCAGTCTGAGGTAAACCTCAGTGGGAGAAAGGTCTCAGTCTGTGAGTGAAGGTCTCACAGTGTGAGGTAGGCCTCAGAATGTGAGAAGGCCTGGCGTGAGAAGCTTCAGTGAGAGAGGCCCTAGGTTGAAGGCCTTATATGTAAAGGCTCACGTGTAAAGCTCCAGTATAAAGGCTGCTGTGTGTAAAAAGCTACTGTGTAAAGCTCCAGTCTAAGTTCCGTGTGAGAGGAGGCTATATGAGAGTGAAGCTCTTTATCTGCATAAAAAAAGAAGCCCAGCATGGAAGCAATGAAGGAAGTATAAAGAACTTAACAAAAGATTGCCCCAGGCACTGCCAGGCCATCAAATGCTAATCAAGGTGGTCACTTGAAACATTCACACCTAACTCCAACAGACCAGAGTTCTTTGTCCCACCCTGGTCATTCCACAACATATATAAGAGGCTGGATGGCCATCTGTCAGGGGTGATTTGAATGTAATATTCCTGCTTCTTGGCAGGGGGTTGGACTGGATGGCCCATGAGGTCTCTTCCAACTCTTTGATTCTATGATTCTATGATATATAAACCCATTTTCCTAGTTCCAACAGACCTCACTACCTCTGAGGATGCTTGCCATAGATGCAGGTGAAACGTCAGGAGAGAATGCCTCTAGAACATGGCCATATAGCCCGAAAAAACCTACAACAACCCAACTTAGTTTGTGTTATAGAAATATTGTTCTTGTAAATAGTGTAACCATATTATTTTGCTATAAAGAAAAGCCTCCTATAGAAGAGACAACAGTGGTCTGTGTGTTCTTGTTCTTTCTATCACTTTGGGCTACTGGTGCTGCTAATAAGTTACTCTGTTGTACATTTATGAGGAGGATCTTTTGTTAATAAGCCCACTCTGCCCAACAGATAACAACATATTGCAAACCCCAGCCTTATACAAAATAATTTATATTGATGGTGTAGTTATCAGAATCAAACCTAGTTTGGACTGCTTGGGCCACAACAGCGAGGGTTCCAATCAATATTTATTTGGGGTTCTTTTACCCCGCCCTTCTCACCCTGAAGGGGACTCAGGGCGGCTTACAGAAGCAAAGGCACAATTTGATGCCTGCAGCACAGAACAATCAAGACACAAAATTACATCAATTCACAATTCACACTAGTTCATGCATTATACCAATAAAATCAATAAAATCAATAAAAACAATACAAACCCAATTCCTCCTCTTACATGGTCAGCGATCGCTAACTCATAGTTCTAATTTTCCGTTCCACTTCAACAATCCTGTTGATCTTACTCGCCTGATTGTCTTATTTAATTGCCAGATTCCCCAAAGGCCTGGTCCCATAACCATGTCTTCACCCTCCTCCTGAAAGAGAGGAGGGATGATGATGTCCTGATTTCCCCCGGGAGTGAGTTCCACAGGTGGGGGGCTACCACTGAGAAAGCCTTGCTCCTCGTCCCCACCAGCCTTACTTGTGACAGTGATGGGGTCGAGAGCAGGGCCTCCCCAGATGATCTCAGACTTCGGGGTGGGACGTAGAGGGAGATACGTTCGGACAGATACACTGGACCGGAACCGTACAGGGTTTTGTAGGTCAAAACCAGCACCTTGAATTGTGCTCGGAACTGAACCGGCAGCCAGTGGAGCTGGCATAACAGGGGGGTGGTATGCTCCCTGTATGTCGCTCCGGTGAGCAGTCTGGCTGCCGCTCGTTGGACTAGTTGAAGTTTCCGAACAGTCTTCAAGGGCAACCCCACGTAGAGCGCGTTGCAGTAGTCTATTCTGGATGTGACAAGAGCGTGGACCACCGTGGCCAGATCAGACTTCCCAAGGTACGGGCGCAACTGGTGCACAAGTTTTAACTGCACAAAAGCTCTCCCGGCCACCGCCGAGACCTGGGGTTCCAGGCTCAGCGGTGAGTCCAAGATCACTCCCAAGCTGCGAACCTGCATCTTCAGGGGGAGTGTAACCCCATCCAGCACAGGCTGTAACCCTATACCCTGTTCGGCCTTACGACTGACCAGTAGGACCTCTGTCTTGTCTGGATTCAATTTCAATTTCAATCAATAGCGACGTTTGCCAATTTGAATTCAGCGCACCACATTGTAATTAAGGTTATGCAATCCTATCCCACAGTGGCCCCAGAAAGGCACATACATGCACACATTCAACCCCCTGGAGTCCAGCAGTTCCATAGTACACAATGCATGATTACCTTTTTCAGCTATAATCATTCCCTAGCTTTTCCAAACCTGCTTTGGGCTCTCCACTCACTTCCCATCTTGGAAAAAAGAAACAATGAGCCCAAAATAACACTAAAAATTGCGGAGCCACTTAGGACTGCAATCCCCCATCCAGCATGGCCACTGAGAGCTGTAATGCAAATAACTATTTCCCCCCTGATTCTGCAAGAGCCTCTTGTGGAATGGGCTCCAGCCCAAGGAAGCTTATGCCAAACAAAATTCATTAGTTTTTAAGATGTCACAAGACAACACACTTGGATGTTTGTGCTGCAACAGGCTATTATGATAATTCCTTCCCTGCAGAGTCATTTTTAATAAGAAATCAACATAAAACTGTGGTTTAATATTAGAAAAATATGAGCCTCTTTTGAAACTCTCTCCTCTATTCCAATAAGTGGGAAGATAAGAACGCAGGATTCAAATTAATCACCAAGCCAAGAGGAAACAAATGATCCCTGATGGTTTAGAAGACTTGGCAATCTTCTGTGTGAAACCTTTCTTCTGGCAAACCACCGGATGTCAGCAGCAGCTGGAATGATCCCGACTCCTTTTCCCCGCAAGAAAATTATTCTCCCTTGTAGGTTTCACCATACAGCCACCACTTAAAAGTCCACCAACAAAAGTTATCTAATCCCGCATGATTCTTCCAGGGCTCAACACCAACAAGTACAATGACTGGAGGAAACCCACTAGGATTTATGTAGATTTTATCCAGCTCTTCCCATGGACAGATTCTACAGTCAGTCCCCCACATTCACTGGGAGTTGGGAGCACTGAAAAGTGAAAAATCATGTGAATGTGAAAAGTCATGAAAAAAGAAATTACCATTTTTTAGCTGAGTTAACACCTCTCAAGAGATTTCTAGGTCTTCCAACATAACTATGGTCAACCTTCATTGGAAGCTGCCATAGAACTAGAACTGCCTTGGAGAGCCTACAGACTCCATGAAAGGTGCTCCTTCTGGAAATCTTTAGGCCCTCCAGCAGGACTGGAGCACGTTGACCATTAGTGGACCTCCTAGAGATAACATTTTAAATCAAATTCATGAACAATCAGATCCACAAAATGTGGATGAATGACTATAGTTGCAAAAGCTCAGCACTGCATGCTGGTGGAGAGGGACACTGGTGATGTTCTGAGTTTTGATCCTGAAGACATCTGCAGATAGATTCAGAAAAGATTTTCAGCTATATCTTCGCCTATAGTACCCACATTTAAGGTACTAAGTGATAGCAGTACAACCATTGCAGCAAAGAAAAAAAGAGAATGTTATGACTTGTCAAATTAAGCCCAAGAGTGCATATGCCCTCTGCTTATGTTTGATCCTTGCTACATTTCCATATAATCAGGTGGCCCTTACAGGCTACACAAGTTAAGTATATTAGCATACTTTTTGCATAGTTCTGCTCTTCCTAATGGACACTGTGATTGCCATTGTCCATTATTTATTTCAACAGAGAGCTGCAAAATATTGTGTAGGGCTAGGGAAAAAATGTTCAAAGTGCTGATGCACAGACCACAAGTCCTCACCTGCCAATCCGTGGCAAATTTCCAGGAAATAAACACTGGTACCAAATGGGCACAAATATAGTATTAGTCTTTGATACACCAGAGGCAGAGTGGTGTAGTGGTTTGAGTGTTGGACAACGACCACGGAAACCAGGGTTTAAATCCCTACTTAGCCATTGGAATGCACTGAAAGACCTTGAACAATTCACACTTTCCCAGCCTCAAAGCGTCAAGAATACATCCAACATCTCACTGAAATGAGTCACCTGCCACCACTAACTTATGGTTGCCTTCTATTGTGCTGCTTATATGGATAGCTTTACTGTACATATTCAATATTGTTTTTCTTACATACAGTTTTCTTGCATACAGGATATTGATACTTTCAATCATTACCCAGTAAGAGCAGCCTAGGTGGAGAATCCGTGGCCTCTAGATGTTGCTTAATCACAATCTACACAGACCAGACTTCCAGTCAAGGATGATCGAAGGACCCAAACTCCTGTCCCTACTTTAGAGCATCATGCGCCAATTCTGACCCATTCTTGGTTGCAATCCAAGTGTACTTAAAGTCCGTTTACAGTCTCTTACCTTGCACCACCAATATCCACTCCGACCATCAATTGCCCGTTCAGTGAAAGGATCTCATCTCTCAAGCGGACTTTCCCACATTTTCCCGCCGGGCTGTTTTTTTTCAAGTCCGTGACCCAAATACTTCCAACATCAAGTATGGGACCCTTATGCCCTTTCTTTTTTCTCCCCGTTCTCCGCTTGTCCCCATAGTCCCCCAAAGCAGGGATGTTCCCAAAGCTTAGGCCGAGAGACTCCACTTTCCCCGGATCCTTGGTGAGGTAAACAGTACAAATCTCAGCGTCCACAGGGTTCGTACCATGTTGCAGTTTGCCTTCATCCACGGGGAAGTTCAGCTGGATGTACTCTCGCAGCTTCTTGATGGCCGAATGGCAGAGCCTCTGCTCCGGCTCCTCTCCTTCTCCCCTCAGGTGGTTTTGCAGCCATCGATATAGGATGGGAAGGAACAACACCGCATTCTCTGGAGTGATGGGCATTGTGGTTGTTTCCGGAACCCATTATGTGAGGAACTGGCTCCTGGATTGGACAACCACATCTCCATCAATGCATCTTTCAGGATCGGGGCAGCTGCCAACTTCATCAACAGCCATGCTGGCAGAAACAAGTGTACACACACACGGGGAGCCAAAAATGATTTTAAATCAAGCACAGTTCTCTCTTTTCCCCTTCTTTGGTCAAGAATAACAGGATGGCTTTTATAACGAAGAGTGAAAACAGGTGCTCTGGAGAATTCGGCAAGAAGAGGAAGGAAGCAGCAAGGACTTCATGGCTGGTCTCTTCCACAGCTGTCCACACAGAAATCATTGGGCCAGCTCTGTGTTTGTTCTTGCTCCTCCACATTCAACAACACCTGCTTGACCTAGAAAGAGAAAAACAGCACAGTTAAAACCATAATTCCCATTCTCAAATAAAGGATTGTAGAGCAATTTGCAGCGCTCATTAATGAGAAAGCTTTTCTTATTATTCCATTCACTCGTTAATTCTGTAATCTGTTTATTTTACTTTCTATATACTCTTGGTTCATCCTCTGTGGAACAGGGACAACGGGATGAACTCTAATAAGCATATTTGTAAACAAGCAAATGGTGGATGTGTGAAAGCTGATTTTCATTCGTCCCTTCGCCCCACTATTCCCAATTGTTACTAATGCTAGTGGGGGCTGATGGAAACTGTAGACCAAAACACCTGGAGGGAGGCACACTGAGGAAGGCTAATCTGAAATGGAAATGATGGCTGACAAACATACAGCTGCCACCTCTACACACCAAGTCACTGTGAGCTACATAGCTCTGTCAATTGGAAAGACAGATGTTTCAATAGTTTAAGGATACACGTAGTGTTAGGGCATGTAAGAAATTAGTTGGTGAGTGTGTTAACTGTAAAATGCAACTCATGAAGCTGATTTGTTGGGCCATGCCTGGGGAGCTAGCTGAGCCTGGGAGTTTTGGCAACAGTTATGTATTTAGGGATTTTGTTATGGGATTTTGGCCTGCATCAATAGGAGCATAGAGTCTAGATCTAAGGAAGTAATGCTACCCCTCTATTCTGCTTTGGTTAGACCACACCTGGAATATTGTGTCCAATTCTGGGCACCACAATTCAAGAGAGATATTGACATGCTGGAATGTGTCCAGAGGAGGGCGACTAAAATGATCAAGGGTCTGGAGAACAAGCCCTATGAGGAGCGGCTTAAGGAGCTGGGCATGTTTAGCCTGAAGAAGAGAAGGCTGAGAGGAGATATGATAGCCATGTATATATATGTGAGAGGAAGCCACAGGGAGGAGGGAGCAAGCTTGTTTTCTGCTTCCCTGGAGACTAGGACGCGGAACAATGGCTTCAAACTACAAGAAAGGAGATTCCATCTGAACATGAGGAAGAACTTCCTGACTGTGAGAGCCGTTCAGCAGTGGAACTCTCTGCCCCGGAGTGTGGTGGAGGCTCCTTCTTTGGAAGCTTTTAAACAGAGGCTGGATGGCCATCTGTCGGAGGTGATTTGAATGCAATATTCCTGCTTCTTGGCAGGGGGTTGGACTGGATGGCCCATGAGGTCTCTGCTAACTCTTTGATTCTATGATTCTATGATTCTAGGCTTAGCTGTTCTTGCTTCATGAGTTGCTGGAATGAGATTTTCCTCATGGACACCTAAAGCTCATTTTGAATGTTTACAAAAGAACATTGTGTGAGTCAACGTAACTGTTCACATAATTGTATATATGTTGCTCTGCATTGCAAAGAGTAAACTACTTGTTCTTTACTGATCATCTGACCATAGCATATTTCCTTTCCCTGACAAAACAGTGTGTGGACTGATAAACATGAACTACATGTAATTTTCATTTTCATTTCATTTTAATGTGTTACATTTTTAACTGTGTTGATCGGGCTTGACCCCATGTAAGCCACCCTGAGTCCCTTCACAACTAAAGTTGTTGTTGCTGTTGTTGTTGTTGTTATGCAACATGTAGGTGCTTTCATTGCAACTTCCACCTGTTATAAATATAAAGGGCTCCCCGTGGTGTGTTCTGAGTCTTGGCTCAGGATATAAAACTATAGACACATCTACACTGCAGAATTGAAGCATTTTGATACCAGTTCAACTTTCATACTCAATGCTATGGAATCCTGAGAGTTGTTTGGGGAGGCACCAGCCCTCTTTGGCAGACAAGGTTAAATACCTTGTAAAATTACTATTCCCATGATGTCATGGCAGGTAAGTAGTGTTAAACTGCATTAATTCTACATGTAGATGTCCTCTATGTGTCATATATAAGGCCAGGCACATGTAGATAAGGATACACATTGATGGCTTAAGCCTCTTATAGTCAATAACTACGAAGGTTTCAAATACTGCAATACAAATTTAGCACAGTATGCTTTTTTTTCTCTGCCAAAGAGGGAGGGGGGAACTAAAGGAACATCTGCATTGTAGAATGAATGCAGTTTGATGCCGCTTTAACTGCTGAAGCTCAATGCTATGGAGTCCTGGGATTAGTAGTTTGGTGAGACAGAGACTTGTAGACTCGTTGGCAAAGAAGGCTAAAGACCTTGTAAAACTACAACTCTGCTATTTCCACAGCCTTGAGCCGAAGCATTTAAAGTGATGTCATACTACATTAATTCAACAGTGTAGATGTAGTCTAAGTAGTTTAAAAATCACTACTCTGTCCTGCACATCTAACATCCCCTTCATTTGATCCCTTGCTCATCTGTTTGTAAGAATAATTAAAGCTGGCTTTACTTGTAAAATGAGGTATAGAGGTATAATGTTAGAAGTGGCACCATATTTAATGAAGAACAGCCTCTAAAAGGTGGACAGTTTTGATGAAGAAAAACAGTTCACCAATATTTTTCAGGTTTGCTTAGCAAACCAATCTGATAGCATTTTGGGATATCCTAATTTATTTATTTTTTTGGTCATGTCAGGAGCAACTTGAGAAACTGCAAGTCACTTCAGGTGTGAGAGAATTGGCCGTCTGCAAGGACGTTGCCCAGGGGACGCCCGGATGATTTGATGTTTTTATCATCCTTGTGGGAGGCTTCTCTCATGTCCCCGCATGAGGAGCTGGAGTCGATAGAGGGAGCTCATCCGCCTCTCCCCGGATTCGAACCTGCGACCTATCAGTCTTCAGTCCTGCCGGCACAGGGGTTTAACCCACTGCGCCACCGGGGGCTCCATATCCTAATTACATGCAAACTTATGTTTTATTCTTTAACAAGTTGAGCTTTTCCTTCCTTATATGTTCTTTTCAGTGGTGGAATGTCCAAAGGGCTCCCAAGACCCATTTCCTGGCTCAGAGAAAAAGAAATGAAAAAGGTAATTAAAATATCCTATTGCTGACCCTTACAAATAGGGTTCGCTGCATGATGTTTTTGGCAACTATTTTAACAGACTGCATAATAGTCACATCCAGTGCCCACTCCAGCTTAACAATTTAAGACATCATGGTCTTTGTGTCAAAATACCTCTAGTGGTATCTTTATGGGGTTTTTTTAATGTCCAGGGAACTCAAAGTACCCCTTTATTCTGCCTTGGTCAGACTACACCTGGAATACTGTGTCCAATTCTGAGCACCGCAATTGAAGGGAGATGTTGACAAGCTGGAATGTGTCCAGAGGAAGGCAACTAAATTATCAAGGGTCTGGAAAACAAGCCCTATGAGGAGAAGCTTAAAGAGCTGGGCATGTTTAGTCTGCAGAAGAGAAGGCTGAGAAGAGACATAATGAGGGCCATGTATACATATGTGAGGGGAAATCATAGGGAGGAGGGAGCAAGCTTGTTTTCTGCTGCCCTGGAGGACTAGGACACGGAATAATGGCTTCAAACTACAGGAAAGGAGATTCCCCCTGAACATGAGGAAGAACTTCCTAACAGTGAGAGCTGTTCAGCAGTGGAACTCTCTGCACCAGAGTGTGGTGGAGGCTCTTTCTTTGGAGGCTTTTAAACAGAGGCCGGAGGACCATCTGTCGGGGGTTCTTTGAATGCAATATTCCTGCTTCTTGGTAGGGGGTTGGACTGTATGGCCCACGAGGTCTCTTCTAACTCTATGATTCGATAATTATTTTGTTATTAGGCACTGGTAAGCTGTGCATATGGTGAACTTTTGTCAGAATGCAATAGCAGGCTGGATAGGTAGAAATGCGTGAGAATTTTATTTACTACATATTTATAAGAACCTTGCAAAATGTAGAGACTGTAATTTATATTGTCTATGCACCCACCTGTCTGTCTGTTTTGCTATGCAAATCACTTGCTTCACAAACCACAGTCATTTCATGCAATGCATTCTCAAAAATCATATAACATTCTAGGCCTAATCTATCAACTATTTCAAGTACTTTCTGGGAAAATATCTGTATACTGTATTTTTTTTTTCCCTCTCCAGAATTCTATTGATGAACCAAATTGAGAAACACTGGTGTAGGTTGATAAACACTATTGTAGATGCAACCTGAGATACTCGACAGGGCTGTCTTTGAAGATTTCCATGACAAGAACCATTACTTAATTTGTTGTGTGTCTTCACATAAACTCACACTCTTTGTAAGTCTATCAGAATTTTCCGACCAACATATATTCGAAGGACATTTCTCACTGCCTTCCACTGAGGCTGAAAAAGTATCGCTTACCCAAGTTCAGCCAATGGATTTCCATGGCTGAGCAAGGATTTAAACTCCATGAATTCCAGTTCAATACTCAAACCATCATTGCTACAGCCTGCTTTTTAAACTCTTTTTTTCCCTTCCTGTTCCTATCTAAGATGCTTAAAGACGGCAAGGAAATAAATTGCCTCTTGAGTTCTTCACAGTACATCCACCCACTATTTAAATTCCAGTAATGCTCAACAGAGTTCACACTGAAAATATATGAAATCCAGCCAGCACGTTTTAGCACACATACCTTTAGATTCATGCATGGATCTTGAATTATTTTAAAAAAATCTTTACAAACCTTGTGCTGCATTACAAATTAATTTTATAGGTCTCTTGCTTACAAAATTAGCCATCTGGACATTGAGAAATTGATATTTGAGAAATGGAAGCCTACCCATTACAGGCATGCTGAACCAACTTTGAGGTTTTCTGGGTCCTAAAGATTCCAGATGTCTGGAATCACTAAATAACAGGATAGATGGATGGATGGATGGATGGATGGATGGAAAGAAAGATTAGATAGATAGATAGATAGATAGATAGATAGATAGATAGATAGATAGATAGATAGATAGATAGATAGATAGATAGATAGATAGACGGATAGATAGACGGATAGATGGACGGATAGATGGACGGATGGATGGACAGATGGGTAGATGGATGGATGGATGGATGGATGGATGGATAGATGGATGGATGGATGGA